GCTTTTAACTCTTCGACTCATCTGCAGTTAGCTGTAGCCTGGAAAGACTTGTATTCTCCTGGTGACTTTGGCGATCTCAGTGTGGATGCCTGTATGAAAAAGTTTGATTCTCTTTGCACTGAGATTTTAGACTCCATTGCGCCGATGACTTTGAAGCATGTTAAGCCACAGATCGAGCCGTGGCTAAATGAGTACACTTGTGCGCTCAGACGCGCATGTCGACAGGCGGAGAGAAAGTGGAAGAAAGACAGTCTCCAGATTTCTCGGGATCTCCTTCGGGATTGTCTCGTTAATGATCAGCAGGCCGTTAAAGCTGCAAAAGCGGAATATGTCTCCACTCTTGTCTCCAAAAATACTCATAAACCTCAGGTTCTTTTCAATGTCTTTGATTCACTTGTGAACCCCTGTGACGCTGTCTCTGTGGAACTATCTGCTTCTCTGTGCGAGGAGTTTTTGGAATTTTTTGTCAATAAGATGTCTGCTCTGAGATGTCCACTCCCTCAGCCTGCTCTGGACCCCTCAGCTTCTGCAGCAAGCTCAGCTGTTTTCCACCAGTTTGAGCCTGTTTCTTTTTCTGCACTGGCTGAGACAGTAGAGCACTTGCGCCCTGCCACCTGCCCATCTGACAGCATCCCTTCCCGCCTGCTTAAAGAGGTTTTTAGCTCAGTTGGGTCTTTTATCTTGTTTCTTATAAATCTGTCTCTTATTTCTGGATGCGTCCCATCCTCTTTTAAACATGCCACAGTGCAGCCTCTACTAAAAAAGAAAACCCTGGATCCCCTGTCGCTTTCTAACTTTAGGCCAATTTCTAAGCTCCCATTTATTTCCAAGGTTTTAGAAAAAGTTGTTCTTGGCCAAATACAACATTTTTTAGATCAAGCCAATATTGGTGAGCTGTTCCAGTCAGGTTTCAAGCCTCTTCATAGCACTGAAACTGCTCTTTCAAAAGTTTTTAACGATCTTCTTTTAAATCTTGACTCGGGTGATTGTGCCTTCTTAATGCTTCTGGACCTTACAGCAGCATTTGATACGGTGAACCACTCCATCCTCTTATCACGCCTTGAGCACACTGTAGGAATTAAAGGCCCCGCTCTACAATGGTTTAAATCCTACCTTGCCGACAGATCCTTCAGTGTACAACTGGGGCAGTACTCCTCCTCAGTGGCCCCTCTAACCTGCGGAGTCCCTCAGGGGTCAGTTCTAGGCCCTCTGCTGTTCTCCCTTTACATGCTTCCCCTGGGGTCGATATTTAGGAAGCACGACATCCACTTCCATTGCTTTGCTGATGATGTGCAGGTGTACCTGCCGCTAAGAGCCCCCTCCAAGGAATCCCTTCAGGCTGTGTTCAACTGTCTGAGGGATATTAAAACATGGATGGACCTGAACTTTTTAAAATTGAACGAAAACAAAACTGAGATTGTCCTCTTTGGCAACCCTGACACCGTCCAGGTCCTTGCCAGCTCCCTCGGCCCCTTAGTACCCTATATAGGTTCCCAAGCCAGAAACCTAGGTGTTATTGTTGATGGGGCTCTTAAGCTGGACAAGCAGATCAGCTCCGTTGTGAAGGCTAGTTTTCTTCAGCTTCGGCTACTGGCAAAAATCAAGCTTTATCTTAGGAGGCCAGATCTGGAAAAGGTTATCCATGCTTTTATCTCGTCTTGACTACTGTAACTCCCTGTATTTTGGCATCAGCCAAACTGAAATTAACCGCCTACAGCTTGTACAAAATGCTGCTGCTCGTCTCCTGACCGGAGCCAAGAAACGGGAGCACATCTCGCCGGTGCTCTCCTCACTTCACTGGCTCCCGGTCAAGTACAGGATTGATTTTAAAATTCTTTTATTTGCTTTTAAGTCTTTGCACAGGCTGGCCCCAGAATATTTATCTGACCTTGTCAAGGTGCACTGACCCGCCAGATCCCTGAGGTCTGCTGACCGGATGGTCTTAGATGTGCCGAGAACCCAGCTTAAAAGCAGAGGGGATTGGGCATTCGCAGTTGCTGCTCCCACTCTGTGGAATGCCCTGCCTCAGTCTGTGCGTTCTGCAACCAGCCTCACCTCCTTCAAAACGCACCTTAAAACCTACCTGTTTACCCTAGCTTTTGGTTGAGTTGTCACCTGCTTCTACTCGCGTACGCTTTTCTTTAGGGCCCGAGCGTAGCTGCTAAGCAGCTGCGAGAGCCCTCTTGTTCCTGATGGATTCTTCTTTCGTTATTAGGGCCCGAGCCAGCTGCACAGCAGCCGGGCGTAGAGCCCTATTATTCCTGTATAGGTTTTTCTTTCTTCTTTCTTTCTTTCTTTCTTTCTTTAGGGCCCGAGCGTAGCTGCTAAGCAGCTGCGAGAGCCCTCTTGTTTTTCGATGGGTTTTTCTTTCTTCTTTCTTTCTTTCTTCTTCTTCTTAGGGCCCGAGCGTAGCTGCTAAGCAGCTGCGAGGCCCTGTTGTTCCTGTAGTGGTTTTTCTTTGTTTCTTAGGGCCCGAGCCAGCTGCAGAGCAGCCGGGCGTAGGCCCTATTATTCCCCAAGTGGTTTTTCTTTGTTTCTTTCTTTAGGGCCCGAGCCAGCTGCAGAGCAGCCGGGCGTAGGCCCTATTATTCCCCAAGTGGTTTTTCTTTGTTTCTTTCTTTCTTTCTTTCTTTCTTTCTTCTTTTTCCTCCCCTTTGAACTGGAAAATGGCCCACTTCCCACTGGCGAAAACTCATGAAATTTGGCAGGACGACCGGGCCTGGTGAAAAATTCGATATTCTGAAGTCGCCCAAACAATAAAATGCAAAATGGCTCCATAGCGCCCCCTAAGGTGGAAATTCACACTATTGACTGTCACGCCTGTACGCTTTGTCATATTGACACAAAAATTGACACACATATGTATCTCAATAAGATCTACAAAAAAGTCAGTGCGGCCGTATCTGTCAAAATTACGGTTAAAGGGTTATTTCGCATTTTTTGCCGATCCGCACACATTGGAATTTCGCTAACTCCTCCGAAGGCTTTCGTTCCACCGGCACCACATTTGCTCAGGCCAATCTACACCCCGTGGCCATTAAAAGTTATCAAAATCATGACGCTGCACTCCAAGGTTTAGGTTCTAGGGGGCGCCAAAGATAACACTAAAATCCACATATTTAAAAGTCTTATAACTTTTTATTTTTGTCCTCACTGGCCTCCAAGTTTTCTAGGATGATGCAATGTCCAGCCATCAACACATTTGTGAAGGAATTTTTACTCCCCAAAAGAGCGCCCCCCCATGGCAGGAGAAAAAAGTCCATTTTTTCTTGTCCCCTAAGGTGAAAATACACATTGTTTAGTGTCACGCCTATACGCTTTGTCAAAATGACACAAAAATTGACACACACATGTAACTCAATAAGATCTACAAAAAAGTCCATGCGCGCGTATCTGTCAAATGTACAGTTAAAGGGTTATTCCGCATTTTTTGCCGATACGCACACATTGGAATTTCGCTAACTCCTCCGAAGGCTTTCGTTCCACCGGCACCACATTTGCTCAGGCCAATCTACACCCCATGGCCATTAAAAGTTATTCAAATCATGATGCTGCACCCCATGGTTTAGGTTCTAGGGGGCGCCAAAAATAACCCAAAAATCCACATTCTTAAATGTTTTATAACTTTTTATTTTTGTCCTCACTGGCCTCCAAGTTTTCTAGGATGATGCAATGTCCAGCCATCAACACATTTGTGAAGGAATTTTTACTCCCCAAAAGAGCGCCCCCCCATGGTAGGAGAAAAAAGTCAATTTTTTCTTGTCCCCTTACATAAAAATACACATTGTTGAGTGTCACGCCTGAACGCTTTGTCATATTGACACAAAAATTGACACACATATGTATCTCAATAAGATCTACAAAAAAGTCAATTCGCGCGTATCTGTCAAATGTACGGTTAAAGGGCTATTTTGCATTTTTTGCCGATTCGCACACATTGGAATGTGGCTAACTCCTCCTAAGGCTTTCGTCCCACTGACACCAAATTTGCTCAGGCCAATCTACACCCCATGGCCATTCAAAGTTGTAAAAATCATGACGCTGCACCCCACGGTTTACGTTCTAGGGGGCGCCAAAGATGACCCAAAAATCCACATTCTTAAAAGAATCCACATCCCCCCCCCTATGGCAGGAGAAAAAGTCAAGTTTTTCCTGCCCATCGCTCAATGGCTCAATCGCATCGCTCTCCAGGCAACACCGTAAGGAGGAGCAACCTGGCATTTCGATATATCATAGCTGTGTTTGTGCCCTCACTCATGGTCCAGACTTTTTTCAAATAGGACATGAAGTTTGTCTGCAGCGAGTGTTTTGGTAGAAACTGCGCCTCCCATTCATTATAATGGGAAATGACCACAGACAAGTGCGCACACCATCTTTGGTTCTTGAGTGTGACTCGATCGGGACGGGGAGGCGGTCGCACTGGGGGCGGCGCGACGCGGCTCGGGCCCGACAGTGCCCCACCGGGGCCCTAGTTCTTTCTTTCTTTCTTTCTTCTTTTTCCTCCCCTTTGAACTGGAAAATGGCCCACTTCCCACTGGCGAAAACTCATGAAATTTGGCAGGACGACCGGGCCTGGTGAAAAATTCGATATTCTGAAGTCGCCCAAACAATAAAATGCAAAATGGCTCCATAGCGCCCCCTAAGGTGGAAATTCACACTATTGACTGTCACGCCTGTACGCTTTGTCATATTGACACAAAAATTGACACACATATGTATCTCAATAAGATCTACAAAAAAGTCAGTGCGGCCGTATCTGTCAAAATTACGGTTAAAGGGTTATTTCGCATTTTTTGCCGATCCGCACACATTGGAATTTCGCTAACTCCTCCGAAGGCTTTCGTTCCACCGGCACCACATTTGCTCAGGCCAATCTACACCCCGTGGCCATTAAAAGTTATCAAAATCATGACGCTGCACCCCAAGGTTTAGGTTCTAGGGGGCGCCAAAGATAACACTAAAATCCACATATTTAAAAGTCTTATAACTTTTTATTTTTGTCCTCACTGGCCTCCAAGTTTTCTAGGATGATGCAATGTCCAGCCATCAACACATTTGTGAAGGAATTTTTACTCCCCAAAAGAGCGCCCCCCCATGGCAGGAGAAAAAAGTCCATTTTTTCTTGTCCCTTAAGGTGAAAATACACATTGTTGAGTGTCACGCCTATACGCTTTGTCAAAATGACACAAAAATTGACACACACATGTAACTCAATAAGATCTACGAAAAAGTCAATGCGCGCGTATCTGTCAAATGTACGGTTAAAGGGTTATTCCGCATTTTTTGCCGATCCGCACACATTGGAATGTGGCTAACTCCTCCTAAGGCTTTCGTTCCACCGGCACCACATTTGCTCAGGCCAATCTACACCCCATGGCCATTAAAAGTTATTCAAATCATGACGCTGCACCCCACGGTTTAGGTTCTAGGGGGCGCCAAAGATAACCCTAAAATCCACATATTTAAGTCTTATAACTTTTTATTTTTGTCCTCACTGGCCTCCAAGTTTTCTAGGATGATGCAATGTCCAGCCATCAACACATTTGTGAAGGAATTTTTACTCCCCAAAAGAGCGCCCCCCCATGGCAGGAGAAAAAAGTCCATTTTTTCTTGTCCCCTAAGGTGAAAATACATATTGTTGAGATTCACGCCTATACGCTTTGTCATATTGACACAAAATTTGACAATCACGTGCCTTGCCTGGTATCATTTTTTTCAGCACAACCTCACCTGTGCGAATTTACAGTTATTTTATCATGTTGACATACTGAATTTACACAATGGACCCAAATTCACACACAAAACATAAAATCTGAGTGGAAAAAAGTAACATTTTTACTGTGAAAACCACAAATATGTGTGATGAACTGTTTTTAAAACTTAAACTTCAAATAAAAATTGTAAACTTCAAAACATATGCAAATTTTTAACAAAGAACATAGTGATTTACCTCTATTTACATCAAAATGCAGGCAATGGCCCAGGCGTTCTTTGTAAAATTATTTACAAAACACTGTATAGTCTCACAAATGTCACTTTTTATTTATGCCACTACAAAAAAACATGATGTAAATGATGCATGATGTAAAACATGATGTAAAAAACTTGTGTAGATCCTCCTCTATGTCAGTCCATGTGTAATTTTTCCATAATTCTTTGTTTTTTGCAGCATTTTTGTTAGTGTAACTGCAGATTGTGCTGACAGTGTCTATGGCACAAAAAAAAAAAAAAATTTAAAATGCCTCAACATGAACCCCTGGTGGTCTCTGAGGGTGAAACCTGCTAACTGCTGCAGCTCTGTCAGCTTCAGTCTCCCATGCAGAGCTCTGAGCGCATGTGTGGCTCTGCACCCTTAGCAGCGTTGCTAACTCCTCAGTAAGGAAAGCCTGCTTCATGTCAGAGTCTCTAAACTCCAGAAGAAGTCGATAAAAGTCCCTTTCTTTCTAAAAAAAAGTCGTTAGGGGGTCTGAAAAGTCATTGAATCTAACAACAAAGTCGCTAGGTTTGCAACTACGTGTCCCAGACTGCATCCCTGCTGAGAGTCCCTCCCTCGCTTCTCATGTTGCAGGAAGAACGTAAGCGCCCGCCCCTTGTCAATCAGTCACCATATAATTTTGGATTGGTTGTTGTGGTGAAGTTTTCCACCAATAGGAGAGATGTTGTGGTGTGTTTTTTTTTTCTTTTGGCAAGCCTTTTCCGCCTGTAAGACCTGTCGCTAATGTCTGCATGCTATGTTTTCCTGTCTCATACAGCGCGATCGAGCGCCGAACGTGATCAAAATAAGCAGAAAAAAAGTATCGCGGACATAATTTATCATAACTCTGGTTTTATTTGGCCTATCAACACAATTTAAAAACTGGTATATAGGTTGAGGTCCTCACTTTTGAGATAAGTTGAAACGGAGAGTCAACGAGGCTCCGTCTTGCAGCTACATCCGGTTAAATATGTCATGTGACTTGAACGCACACACAGACACACACACACGCACACACACACACACACACACACACACACACACACACACACACACACACACTCAGAGTCTGGTTTTTAGCACCTGCAAAAACATGCTATTTACATATTTGACAAGAATGCAGAGGCTCCTTTTACCCCTGAAAAAAATCAAATTTCAAACACAACTTGACTGGTCATTTCTCCAAAAGACAACCATGAAGCTCCATCCAAACCTGAAGCAGGCAGTTGGTGCATGTGTACAGTAACCTGAGGGGAGTGAGGTGACTGCTTCTGAGGAGAACATGAGCAGTGAAGATTCACCTTGGAGCTAGAACAGAGACATGCACATGATTATACAGGGGCAGGGGCTCAAGTTTTTTCCAGTCGTTCATACAATATGGAAATTAATGTGAAATTAAAACACAAAGTATTAATAGAAAGGTAATGACTGTCCTGTGTAGGTGACAGTGATATCCAATAGGCTAGGCACTCACGAGGCTGGCTGTGGCAAGTGTAAGTGAAAGCAACACGCACTGGCAGGAAGAACAGCAAACGCCGATGAAGGAAAAGGGTCTTTGCAGTGATGGGCGTTACCAGAGAGGGCGATGGCCAGAGGACACAAATGGGACGGGGAGGCAGCACGTTGCGGGGGGGACGCGACACGGCTCGGGCCCGCCAGTGCCCCAACGGGGTCCTAGTTTTTTCTTTTTCCTCCCCTTTGAACTGGAAAATGGCCCACTTCCCACTGGCGAAAACTCATGAAATTTGGCAGGACGACCGGGCCTGGTGAAAAATTTGATATTCTGAAGTCGCCCAAACAATAAAATGCAAAATGGCTCCATAGCGCCCCCTAAGATGAAAATTCACACTATTGACTGTCACGGCTGTACGCTTTGTCATATTGACACAAAAATTGACACACACATGTATCTCAATAAGATCTACAAAAAAGTCAGTGCAGGCGTATCTGTCAAATTTACGGTTAAAGGGTTATTTCGCATTTTTTGGCGATCCACACACATCGGAATTTCGCTAACTCCTCTAAAGACTTTCGTTCCATCGGCACAACATTTGCTCAGGTCAATCTACACCCCATGGCCATTAAAAGTTATTCAAATCATGACGCTGCACCCCACGGTTTAGGTTCTAGGGGGCGCCAAAGATAACCCTAAAATCCACATATTTAAAAGTCTTATAACTTTTTATTTTTGTCCCCACTGGCCTCCAAGTTTTCTAGGATGATGCAATGTCCAGCCATCAACACATTTGTGAAGGAATTTTTACTCCCCAAAAGAGCGCCCCCCCCATGGCAGGAGAAAAAAGTCCATTTTTTCTTGTCCACTAAGGTGAAAAAACACATTGTTGAGTGCTACGCCTGTATGTTTTGTCAAAATGACACAAAATTCGACACACACGTGTATCTCAATAAGTTTTACAAAAAAGTCAATGCGGGCGTATCTGTCAAATGTAAGGTTAAAGGGCTATTTCGCATTTTTTGCCGATCCGCACACATTGGAATTTCGCTAACTCCTCCTAAGGCTTTAGTTCCACCGCCACCAAATTTGCTCAGGCCAATCTACACCCCATGGCCATTAAAAGTTATTCAAATCATGACGCTGCCCCCCACGGTTTAGGTTCTAGGGGGCGCCAAAGATAACCCAAAAATCCACATTCTTAAAAGTCTTATAACTTTTTATTTTTGTCCTCACTGGCCTCCAAGTTTTGTAGGATGATGCAATGTCCAGCCATCAACACATTTGTGTAGGAATTTTTACTCCCCAAAAGAGCGCCCCCCCACGGCAGGAGAAAAAAGTCAATTTTTTCTTGTCCCCTAAGGTGAAAATACACATTGTTGAGTGTCACGCCTGTACGCTTTGTCATATTGACACAAAATTTGACAATCTCGTGTATCTCAATAAGATCTACGAAAAAGTCAATGTGTGCGTATCTGTAAAATGTACGGTTAAAGGGCAATTTTGCATTTTTTGCCGATTCGCACACATTGGAATGTGGCTAACTCCTCCTAAGGCTTTCGTCCCACTGACACCAAATTTGCTCAGGCCAATCTACACCCCATGGCTATTCAAAGTTGTAAAAATCATGACGCTGCACCCCACGGTTTACGTTCTAGGGGGCGCCTAGAGCACAACCTCACCTGTGTGAATTTACAGTTATTTTATCATTTTGACATACTGTATTTACACAATGGACCCAAATTCACACACAAAACATAAAATCCGAGTGGAAAAAAGTAACATTTTTACTGTGAAAACCACAAATATGTGTGATGAACTGTTTTTAAAACTTAAACTTCAAATAAAAATTGTAAACTTCAAAACATATGCAAATTTTTAACAAAGAACATAGTAATTTACCCCTATTTACATCAAAATGCAGGCAATGGCCCAGGCGTTCTTTGTAAAATTATTTACAAAACACTGTATAGTCTCACAAATGTCACTTTTTATTTATGCCACTACAAAAAAACATGATGTAAATGATGCATGATGTAAAACATGATGTAAAAAACTTGTGTAGATCCTCCTCTATGTCAGTCCATATGTAATTTTTCCATAATTCTTTGTTTTTTGCAGCATTTTTGTTAGTGTAACTGCAGATTGTGCTGACAGTGTCTATGGCAAAAAAAAAAAAAAACTGAAAATGCCTCAACATGAACCCCTGGTGGTCTCTGAGGGTGAAACCTGCTAACTGCTGCAGCTCTGTCAGCTTCAGTCTCCCATGCAGAGCTCGGAGCGCATGTGTGGCTCTGCACCCTTAGCAGCGTTGCCAACTCCTCAGTAAGGAAAGCCTGCTTCATGTCAGAGTCTCTAAACTCCAGAAGAAGTCGATAAAATTCCCTTTCTTTCTAAAAAAAAAGTCGTTAGGGGGTCTGAAAAGTCATTGAATCTAACAACAAAGTCGCTAGGTTTGCAACTACGTGTCCCAGACTGCATCCCTGCTGAGAGTCCCTCCCTCCCTTCTCATATTGCAGGAAGAACGTAAGCGCCCGCCCCTTGTCAATCAGTCACCATATAATTTTGGATTGGTTGTTGTGGTGAAGTTTTCCACCAATAGGAGAGATGTTGTGGTGTGTTTTTTTTTTTTCTTTTGGCAAGCCTTTTCCGCCTGTAAGAGCTGTCGCTAATGTCTGCATGCTATGTTTTCCTGTCTCATACAGCGCGATCGAGCGCCGAACGTGATCAAAATAAGCAGAAAAAAAGTATCACGGACATAATTTATCATAACTCTGGTTTTATTTGGCCTATCAACACAATTTAAAAACTGGTATATAGTTTGAGGTCCTCACTTTAGAGATAAGTTGAAACGGAGGGTGAACGAGGCTCCGTCTTGCAGCTACATCCGGTTAAATATGTCATGTGACTTGAACGCTGGGGAGCGTCAATCGACTGCAGAGCCAGCAGACAAAGTAGTTATGGCCACTGAGAGGCACACATTTGTCATATGCTATAATCCTAACATATTTTAATGCTTTTTCTATTTAAACCTAATGGATCTAAGGTTTGACCTTCAAAATTTAGGAAGAATATGTTTTTGCAGTAATGACCCCCTTAAACAACCAGAGGTCCTTTCCTAAAGTTTATGGAAATTTTAGTGAAGGGCTTGGTTTCTTTCCTTGAAAATGTATAGAAATAATAAAGCTAAATACCATAAAATGGTCTTGGCGTATTAGCAGTGATATAAAATAGTGGTTTGAATATGAATGAACAACAAAAAAAGACATCTAAAGGGTAAGGGAATGATCAGCCCTCCTAACTCTCAGATGAATCTTCAAAATTCACCTCAGAAATATGCTTATTATTCTTCTCAGAGTACTGCAAGATATACACACACACACACACACACACAGACACACACACGCACACACACACACACACACACACATACACACACACACACAGACACACACACTCAGAGTCTCAAGAATACAGAGGCTCCTTTTGCCCCTGAAAAAAATCAAATTTCAAACACAACTTGACTGCTCATTTCTCCAAAAGACAACCATGAAGCTCCATCCAAACCTGAGGCTGGCAGTTGGTGCATGTGTACAGTAACCTGAGGGGAGTGAGGTGACTGCTTCTGAGGAGAACATGAGCAGTGAAGATTCACCTTGGAGCTAGAACAGGGACGTGCACATGATTATACAGGGGCAGGGGCTCAAGTTTTTTCCAGTCATTTATACAATATGGAAATTAATGTGAAATTAAAAACAAAGTATTAATAGAAAGGTAATGACTGTCCTGTGTAGGTGACAGTGATATCCAATAGGCTAGGCACTCACGAGGCTGGCTGTGGCAAGTGTAAGTGAAAGCAACACGCACTGGCAGGAAGAACAGCAAACACCGATGAAGGAAAAGGGTCTTTGCAGTGATGGGCGTTACCAGAGAGGGCGACAGCCAGAGGACGCGAATGGGACGGGGAGGCGGTCTCGCTGGGGGCGGCGCGACACGGCTCGGGCCCGCCAGTGCCCCAACGGGGCCCTAGTTTGTGCTTATTTTTTCAATGTTTAAACTGATGGGGGGAGTTTTTTTTTCAACTTTTCAGTCAAACATACACACATATGCAAATATAAACATATGTGTGTGTGTGTGTGTGTGTGTGTGTGTGTGTGTGTGTGTGTGTGTGTGTGTGTGACTTAGTTGTGGGAAGAAACCTGAGCATCCAGGAGAAAACCCAGAGAATAATGTTATGAGCTGGACTTGGGGTCTAGCACAGCTGCTGCTGCACTGCTGTGGAAGTCTAAAGTTCTGAGGGTGGGCCGTGGTTTTACGCTTGTGCTTATTTTTTCAATGTTTAAACTGATGGGGGGAGTTTTTTTCAACTTTTCAGTCAAACATACACACATATGCAAATATAAACATATGTGTGTGTGTGTGTGTGACTTGGTTGTCGGGAGAAACCTGAGCATCCAGGAGAAAACCGCACAGAATAATGCTATTAATTGGAGGTGTTTGAATATGTTAGTGGTCTGGGGATGAGGAGTGTATCAGCCAATGGTTATATTCATTGTGGATGGATGTACCTCCTTTGTCTGAATACTTTTGTTTTTTTTTTGGGCTGGGGTGGGGGACTGGGCTTCAGGTCTTTGGCCAACTGCATTTTCCTGATGATGCAGGTTTTTGGAGCATCATATTTCGTAAAGCCCCCCCTGTATGGGGCAGAGCTTATGGAGACATCTTCGGGTAAAGCAAAGCTATCCTGTTTTTGTCTGATTTGACGGGTTTCCCGCGTACTATACCTCGGTAAGGGTTCCCTTGTATTAGCAGCTGTAGGTCCAACCACGTGTCTGAAAGGAGGTGACGATGAGTCGACAGGTGGGAGAACTGGCTGCCTACGATACCTCAGTAAGGGCTCCCCTTTACCAGCAACTGCAGGTCTGTCAATGTGTCTGAAAGGAGGTTCTGAAGAGATGATAGGTGGGAGAACTGGATTTGCACGACCCCTCAGTAAGAAGGGTTCCTCTGTATCAGCAGCTGTAGGTCCGTCCATGTGTCTGAAAGGAGGTTCTGATGAGTCGACAGGTGGGAGAACTGGCGGCAAAGCTTCTCTGCACTTTGCTCCAGCAGATTCGCAGTGTATGTATGCAGGAGGTGGCGATGAGTTGATAGGTGGGAGAAAGCTCTGTGGCCGATCATCCTTACATTTGTTCTCCAGCCTTGAAGGCGCTTTATTTGTGTTGAGAACAATTCGTCCAGAGGCTCGGGCCTTTTGTAATTCACGCTCAGCATACTCTTTGAACTCTTTCTCCTCAGCAGCTAAAGCTTTTGCTTGCCTTTTTTCAGCTTCCTTGGCCTCCTTTCTCTGCTGTTCCTGAATGGCACGTCTCTGTGCGTGTAATTTGACATTACCATCAGAAAATTGGATGTTTCTTGCCCTCGCAGATTTAGCTTTCTGGCTTTCCCTTTCAAAGTACAACCTGTTGTCCTCTTTCTGGGCCTCAATCAGCTCAAGATCTCTCGGCTTCTCCTCCAGCTGCTTCTGCACCTTTTCACGCATCTGCGCTTCATTGTGAGCTGAAACAGCTTGCAGCATTTGGTCTCTCTTCTCCCCCTGTATTTGTTCCTGTATTTGTTCCACCGCTGCTTGTTTTTTGGCCTCTTCACATACTTTCTCTTCATCCCTGGCCCGACTTTCCTCCTTCTTTTTCTCTTCCTTTTCCAACATACATCTGACCTTATCCATGCAAAACTCCCTCTGCACAAACCGGGGATCTATGTACTCTTTTCTTTGCCAGCATTGCTCTTCTATTTCAGACCGGTCACGTTCTATCTTCCTATCCTTCAAAATGGATTGTTGCTCCCTTTGTTGTTTATAAAAGTTTTTCTCAGCTATATCATCGAGACGACGTTTACGGTTGGCTGCCTTTAACTGAGCTTCTTTTTCAGCTTGATCTTTCTGCTCCTGTGCATACAACTCATCCAGGGCTCGAAGTTCAGCTCTCTCCTCTTTCTCAGCCTGAATCTTCTTCTCTCGCAACAGTCTCTTCTCCTTCACCATCTCCTCATTCTCTTCATCCACTCTGCGCCAGAGTTCCTTTCTCCGAAGAGATTGCTCCTGCTGTTCTCTCAGAACTTGCTTATCATCAAGCACCATCTTCTCTTTGAACTGCCTTTCTTCTTCTTTAGCAATTTTTTGTCTTTCTTGCCGAAGTTTCGATAGTTCCTCATTTTCCTTTCTAATATTTATGGCATCCAGTTGACTGTGAAATCTCCTAACACAGTCTCTTTCTTTGTCGAGAGTTTCATGCTTTTTTCTCTCCTTCTCCTCTGCAATTTGAGTATCCAATGTGGCTTCCCACTCTCGGATCTGTTCTTGGGCCCATGCAATCTGCGACATTTTGACGTTATTTTGATGTTACGGTAAAATAAAGTCAATGTTTGTACTGAGGCTGTGTACTTCTGCTAATTTCTGAAC